CTTTCGACCATTAACAATTAAAATATGACATTAATAAACGTTTTAAAAACAAACTGAACGAAGGCTGTCAACCTTAGCACATTTTAAGCGATACGTTTATATTGCTTTTTAGAAATCTAACATCGTGAGGATGAAGTAATATGAAATGCCATACAAGCATGACCCTGAAACATCTGATGGTGACATATTTTGAGAGTAAAATGAAAAGACTCCGTATTTAGTTGTTTCTATAAGGCCAAACTTAAGTGACAGAATGGAATACATTCACAGACCCTTCCTTTTTTGTCCAGACTGTATATATGTATTGATTGTGTGCGGGGGTGGTACAAGCATTCACAATATAAGCTTTTCTCAAATACATCCTCACCTGACCCTGAAGTGGTTCATTAAGAGTGATCTGGCATATATAATTTTCTGATAAAAATGATTCTGGAGTCCTATCTGACTTAGCAGCTGATACGTTGAAAGATCATTCATGGTTAAGGATACGATTCCAGGGCTTTTTCTATAATAATGACAGACATAATACAAAATCGATATCATAGATCAACTAACAATTCAACACTAGTAAAGATTTTTTATATTAATACCAAAAAAGAACCACAGACCACTTCATATTTTTCCGGACATTTATTAGAGAGCAGAACAGAGAAGTGTGCTCACTAACTCTGAAAGACAACTCTGAGACATTACTAAAGAGATAACCTTTCATTATTAGACAAAAAAACGACATACATAGTGCAACGTCCCTTTTAACTCCTACTTCCTCACCCTTCGACAAAATCACACACACATCCACAAATCATTAGACATCACAATTTATTTATGTAAATGTATTAAGAGAACGAATCAACATATGATGTTTAACTAGTTTTTAGTTTCGCTTCTTATTCTCTACATACCATCTCATACACTCAATGGAGTCAATACAACACATACAAACTTGAATCTTCTCCAGAAGCGGCATGTCACATCATCAGACACACATCCCTCCTCCATACACACACACAAATAGAGACCAAAGACACGCTAGCGACATCAGCAACTAGTGGACAGACAGACAGAGAGCACAGACATAAGCAGTGAATGTAATGCACAGCATAGCCAACACAGACCCTCATAGAACATATGGCAGCGTCCTCCATCCAGAAAAAAACATGAACACAGTCACAAATGATGGAGGCAGCAGCGTTTCACAGGGAACACATCACACGAACAGAGGCATGTAATATACGTGACGTGGGTCACATTTCCCACAATAATAGAGCTGGCTAACGAACAGGATAAGTGAAATTCTGACACGTTAACACAGAAAGGAAACTGCATACATAAGACCAAGACAGTCGGAAAATAAACGAGAGATAGGGCACCCAGTTGGTCTGGAACTCTGTCAGATCCAACATGAGGGCACCATCAAGCGAAGGGAGGCAGTGATGGAGGACACAATCTGACTGATCACCTGTTCAGGGTTGGTGAAGAGGGACGCTCGATATCGAGTTCCTCGGCAGATATCATAATGGCCTCGTTGTCTACCATGAAGGCACAGTCAGAGTGCTCCAGGGTGGTGTGGGTGGTGAGGATGGCGTTGTAGGGCTCCACCACAGCGGTGGACACCTGGGGAGCTGGGTAGACGGAGAACTCCAGCTTGGACTTCTTGCCGTAGTCGACGGACAGACGCTCCATCAGCAGGGAGGTGAAACCAGAGCCGGTGCCCCCTCCGAAGCTGTGGAACACCAGGAAACCCTGAAGACCGGTGCACTGGTCAGACTGAAATCAAAGGGGGAGACAAACATCACCTTGGGAACAGTTATGCAATGTAATTTGAAATCAATATTAGGATTAAATCCCTTTTGTTATAAATATGCCCACCAGTTTGCGGATCCTGTCCAGCACTGTGTCAATGATCTCCTTGCCGATGGTGTAGTGTCCTCGGGCGTAGTTGTTGGCAGCATCCTCCTTGCCAGTGATCAGCTGCTCAGGGTGGAACAGCTGGCGGTAGATCCCAGTGCGCACCTCATCT